CATGCTGATTTCCAAGGACGAGCGATGGGCCAACAACCCCGACAAGGAATCAAAAGACAAAGCCCGCCTTCGAGAGCTCGGTCTCTTCATCACCGACGACTTCAAGAAGGTGGACCTAGTCTGCGCCCCGCAACCCGTCCGAACGAAGAAGTTCATCGCAGCCCTAGCCTGCGCCCCCACCCTCGTATCAACCAGCTACCTCGACTTCGCGCTGAAGAACAACAAGCTTCCCCCGGCAGAAAAGCACCTCCTCCAAGCTAGAGACTTCGAAGAGGCCAACAACTTCCGGCTCTCCGAAGCCCTCTCGCGCGCTAAGCAGAACAAGCAGCGCCTCCTCAAAGGCTGGACCGTCTTCTGCACAGAGAAAGTCGGCGGCGGCTTCGAAACCTACAAAGACATTGTCGAAGTCAACGGCGGAAAATGTGTGCTCTGGAAGGGCAGACCAACCACCGTCTTCTCCGCGTCAAAACGTAAACTCGACCCTTCTGACAAAGAGGTCAGTCAGAACCAAGTTGAAGACGAGGGAGACGTGTTGTACCTCATCTCCGACGCCGACAAGAAGGAGTTTACCAACTGGACTAAATTCCGCGAGTTGGCTAAGCGTGAAAACATGATTCCGCGCATTGTCAAAACGGAGTGGCTGCTTGCTGTGGCGATGACGCAGTATGTGCATTGGGACCCGGAGTGGGAGTTGAGTGAAGAGGTTGTTAATGCTGCGAAGAAGTAGGTCTTCGCTTGCCGCAACTGTTCAACGGCTGATGATGGGTTAAGAGCGATGGGAGTTCGGGGAGCCGGTCCCGAGGCTCACATTCTGTATAGACTCGCTTCGTGCGGTCGCGATATGGATGCGGGTATCTGTATTGGTATGTTTTGAGCGGTTTAGTCATTGTTTTGTGTTGCATTGTTAGCGATAGGTCTACGGATGGGGCAGCGTGTAGAGCGTTGGTTTAGCATGTATATCGAGAAAGCTTCACGTTGACTCATTACTGTGTGCACATATTTCAGCTTCCTACTTCACCGCCACGGTGATATCATGTGTGGCTACGTATCCCCTTTTCTTCCGTTCATTGTTATCAAGGCTAACATATCCCTTGTGGCACATTCTCTTGGCTCGATCCGCGGGTGCGGTAACGCGTACGGCACAGTCGGGCCATGCAAGAGGTCTTTGTGGCACAGCGATCCCCTGTGTGAACTTCGCCGCTTATTGAACTGTGCCGTGGGTCTGTGTTTGGGCTGTTGATCGGTGATGCCGAGATCGCCTTAGAGATGGCTATTGGATCTGCGTCAGTGATGTAGAGGGTGTTTGTTCAGACGGGGTCGAATTTGATACGCTTTGGGATGTAATTTAGAGTATGACATCTGTGACATTGACTGTAAGGCGAAGTCCTTTGTTACGAAATCAACGAACTCTCAGCTGGCTGGTTTAAGGTGAGCGGCACAGAACGTGTTCTCGGCTGTGTACCCTGATAAGCATATAGGAGCTTTTCTGCTCATAGAGTCAAATAGCTCTGGGGTGAATTCAGCATCGAGTATGATGTCATTTAAAGCTTACATGTCTCATCCTAGACCAGAGCTTTTACCGGGGCTGGGGATCGATGCGCGTCGTTAGTGCTCACTCCGAGTGAGCCGGGATGCCAACACATACAACAACGACCAGGCAACCGAGAAGAAGAATTTGGGGGCGAGTATACAGATTGGTATATGCTAGACGTAATATAGTGATGAAGCCAACTGTCAGCTAAGGGCCTTGCCTAAGATCAAAATAGATTGTTTAACTTTTTGCTTTCATAAGAGATGAGATAGAAGTGTCTAGATAATACTCGACTGCGTGTTATGCCAGGTGCAGGAGCGTAGACAGGGTATATAATAATGCTTGTGCAGAAAAGACCGCGGAATCGCGAAACAACAGAAAGACAGAGTAAGACATCGGAATCTTCAGCTCGTGAACTCCTCGTTACCGTCCGCCCTCCCTAAGGGCCTACATGTATGCCCAGACCCCCTCTCTACTCCGACGTCGTGTGAATGATCTTCGGAATCTGTGGCATCGCAATCATAGGCGTCGACTCGTAATACCGTGCCCGTTGACTAGCTGTACTCGTACTGCGTGCGCGCCCTGTCGGTGCCGGCCGTAAACTCATGTCACCCTCGTCACCACTCGGCGATATGGGACTGAGTACCATAGTACTAAGCGTACCGTTGCTCTGGCGACTCATCGCACTAACACCCGTACCAGCGCTCTCCGTGTTATCAGCGATGGGATCACTAGCCTCCTCACTCGGCGTGACCTGTAGTGGAACGAGATGCATAGTATCCGTACTCGATCTCTTGTTGCGCGCGTCCGCTTCCGAGTCGACGTATAATGTGACGCTGCTTGCGCGGACGCGGCTGAACATGCTGGTCTTGTCTTCGTTGGCGAGGAGGCCGGCTGTGTCTGATTTGCGGTTGTCGAGCTTCTTCTTTTCGCTTCGGCGGTGGAGATAGAAGATTAGGCAGGCGAGGATTATGGCGAGGAAGATGAGGCCGAAGACGACGGTGAGGGCGATGTTGGCTTTTGTCCAGTATCCTGAGTAGGGTACTGAAGCTAGGTCTTCGTCTGCGACGAGGTTGTTGTCTACTGGTATAGGAGACATGGTGATGTATGTTCGTGTAGGCGATGGATCTTTGATGCGAATCGGTCGGTGATGCTTCAGATGGATGGTGAAGCTCTTTGCTTATATGTAGTGCTAGATAGGAGGCGATGTGGCGGTGCGGTGAAGATATAACAACTACTACGCCTCGAAAATCTGATGATATATAGCTATGAGACTGTTAAGACGAACTTGCTCGAGTAATCCCTTATGTGCTATTGCTATGAACTGGTACCGGGCACCAGGCAGACATAAGTCTCTCCGTAAAATGAAACCTTTGACGCACCGGCCTTAGATCCTGCGCCCATGGCGCTGGATCCGTGAGAAGGCGTCCAGTATGCGGCTCGAAAGTGGGAAAGATATGCTCAGCCTCAGCACGTTGTGGGGAAAGTAGGCCCATGAATTCGGAGAAAAGTCACTGCGCCCCTGTGGTATGATGAGCAGCTTGGCGCAAAACAAGAGGCCTAACGAATGATGGGCGTCGAGAACGGCCGTCGAAGCTTGGACTACCGCGTCTAATCGAGGAATCAGAAGGAGCTGTGTGGCAGTTTGGTGGTGGCACGGGTTCGTAGACGGCGGTGACGGGCGTGCATGTCGGAGCCCCATCTGTTGTCAATCCACTTGGGGATGGTTCTCTACCGCGTGCGAGCCACGTCCGAGCGGTTTCGCTCGTTCTGTCTACGCAGCTGAAGCTATCAATTCAGCTCGTGGGACCATACAAATTGAGTGGCTGCTCTTTCGACAAACTACCCATTCCAGCTTCATGCCACACAACATCAACACAGATTTGGCGGCCCAATACGAGGGCCTCTACAAAGACAATGATGTGCCAAAGGGTTGTGCTGTAGGATCAACGTTTCGAAATTTAGGCAAGCACAGCCACCTGCGCTAAAAGAAATGAGCAGCAACAATCATGAATCGACACAAGGCTGAGCGCCTTACACTTCCTCTGCGTGTCTGCCTGAGCCAAGCCCAAGGAGGATTGGACGGCGACGTGGGCAAATTGTGGGGTGAGAATAGGCGAACTTGTTGCGGTAAAGGAAAGCCATGATGCGAGTTGTCAAGCTCCCGCTGCGGCGCGTCATTGTAGAGATCGTGGGATGGAAGTTGGTGGCTACTGGACGCCACAGTAGAGTATTTGCGGCGTGTCTGCGGCGACTATGCGGCGTGGTGGTGTCAGACCCTCATCTCATGCGTGCGCTGGCTGGTGAGTGGGAGCTTGCTGGCCAACGGGTGTGGTGTTGACGACGGCTGGCCTAACAACAGCGGGACGATGGGCGATGTTGGCTGACCCAACTAGCGTTCTCGCTAAAATGCGGTGCTATTCCTGGATCATGACACGCCTTTGCGGTCAAATCTCGCTAGCTTTCTCGCTCTACACCGATAACTGTGAAAGCGTAGATACAGTCTGGTATCAATGTTTTCTTTTGGTGCTTACTGTACAGCTGCGAGCAAGAGTTCAAGGCAATATTCGCTGTTCGTAGGGATTCACTTAGCAGCCGTCTATGGTTGTGAGACCTCACACAACCAATTAGGGTTTGCCGCATGGCATTCTCGAGGTGCAAGAGTTGATGAAGTCATGTTGATCTTTACTTCCCCTCTTTCTACGTCAACCCACACCTAACATCTCTCCGTCTCTTTCTATCTCAAAAAAAAAAGTTGCATCATCGATATTCATGATGGACCCCCTCCCATGCATGTTTTTCCATCGCAAGGAAGGCTACTCCTGGCAAAAGGGGACTGAACCTACACCTGATGATCTTCTCCAATCTGTCGCTATCAACGTATCGCAACCTGACGCCCTCATGACCTGGCTCGAGACAAACGACGCTGCTGTCATCTCTGACCTTACCGTCTTTGTCGACGCGACCGACCACGCACCTAGTCCTCAGCGATGGTGCTTACTTTTCGACAAACTTCAACGAGAAGCAACCAAAATCCAGGATCTGAGTGTCTACTTGGACGCAGAGGGTTGGCGTGTTGGGCTAGGTAAAAGCGTCGTTTTTGTACGCGGGCTGGCACAACTCAAGGTGGAGAGATCGTTGGAGGTTAGTGGGCAATATGCTATGCACTGGCCCAGATACTTGGAAGAGAAGATGGGGTTGAAGCCATTTGATAGAAATATTTTCCCAGGCAGTCCATGGATAGACATCTTGAGGAAGTATCAGAGGGGGACCGAGAGCTTGTATCCTTAAGTTCACACTGATGATGGAAATGGGGACGGCCTGAGACGCATGGACTTCACTGATCTCCTCAAAACTTTACATTCTCTATTTCTCCGTCGTTGTAGGCTCCAGGGTACTCTGGCTTTCCCTACCTAGGTAGTTTAACGTGTTTCGACCATCAGATACATTCCCATCCCATAACCCGATACTAGAAAAGCCGGGACGCAAAAGGATACCCACCATGAACATAATCCCTAACCCACTCAGCCCTCACAATCTCCTTCAACATCGGCGCACTCCCCTCCTTCTCCACCCCATCAATCCACCTCTCAATCCACTTCCCATCACCCGCCTTACCAAAATGCTGCACACACTGTGCAAACCTTACTTTCAGCTGACCAGCCTTGTGCACCTCGACCCATTCGGGACAGATACGCTGCATCTCTTCCAGGAAAAATTGTCGAAGCTTTACTTGCGTTTTGTACTCCTCATTAACATATTCGATGTTGAGGTAGGCAGACAATGCTGCGGTAGCGTCAGTCAGCTCTAGGAATGAGGGTAGTTGGCATGCGAGCCATAGGGGGGCGATGTGCGCGCATTCCCAGTCGAAGATACCGGTTAAGGAGCCGTTGGAGTCGACGAATATGTTGGCTGCGTGGAGGTCTTGGTGGTGGAGCACGAATACCTCTTCCTCCGCCTGCTCAGGAAAAACCTTCGGTATGAGATCAAGTAGGCGCTGCGCTCGCTGCTTAGCTTCTTCGACCTTTTTACGGGCATATTGAAGGCGCGGATCTGTATTTATTCTATTGATTTGTTTCTTCCATATAGTGGTGGCCGTCTCGGAAGGCTCACCGGGATAGGAATCGATGATGTTTTGATAAATTGAGCGCTTGATTTCGTCGGAAGTTTCAAGCTTGGACTCGTCGTCAAGATCAAGGAGGCTGAGTTGGAGTTGTACGGTAAGTCAGTCTTGACTACGCTTGTAAGGGCCGCGCGGGACGTTGTGGTCGATGTGTGCGCCCCAGAAGAAGGGCGCGGAGACGATCTTGCCTAGGCCGACTTTCGTAGAGAGGAATGAGGCCTCCAGTGTAAGTAAGGCGATATCATTCAGGCCTGGCGTGGTTAAGTGAGGAAGTTCATTCGCGGGATACAGATTACCCAGTTTATCGAACCGCTGCTAGAAGAGCTGCAGAGCCCATTTGACGCACTAACTGCTCTTTCTTGAGATAGTCCATGCCCTCCCATTCATCACCCAGTTTGCGGCCGGGCATACGCGCCCTGAGTATCCACTCAAGTCCAAGTTCGTTGTCGGTATTAGCCTGGTAGCAGAAGACCTGTGGTACTGGAACCTCAGTGTGATGACGGATGTACTCGATAGTAGCCACCTCGCTCATAGTCTTTGATCGTGCGTCGACAGGGACAGTTAGACGCAGGATGTATTCTTGGCCGCGGCCACATGTGACGGTGTAATCATTGTTGAAGTTGTTCTGGGTTAGGAAAATTGAACTACGCATGGGTCTGGAGTCGGGATCTTCAGCTCTCGTCGCACGAGGGTTGTGATGTCCTCAATGCTGGGGTCGGCTGTCCACTCGGGCATCACTCCTGAAGACCGGTCCTTCTTCCAGCGAAGTCCTTTTTGGATAGTTACGGGCATGCCAACAAGAGTACCCATTTTGATGACAGTAGTGGTGTTGGAATGTTTTTGACTGGAATGGCGAAGTGATGATTTTGTCCTTCTTGTAGGGGAGGGGAGAAGTAATGCGAGAACTAACACACTGCTTACTCGGAAGTGCTGTCACCTTTCACAACTATGGCTTTTACAGCTCAAGTCTTGTAGGTGCTCTTGCAAGTAAAGGCTCTACGGTGCAGTATCACGAAGGTTAGAGCGGAGGACAGGGCAATATTGATCATTTCATGCTCGCTGTAGGTAAGATAACGAGCGAGACTATTTCGTTGTCGCGGACGACGTTGTTCTACGCATGTACTTTGTGGACTTCCTTATCCATTGAGACAAAGAGAAACTACCAGAAAAGGAAAAGATGCAACCCACGACCATAGGTCATACTGCTGATGATATGCGCCGTCCCATGCAAGATTGACAAAAGATCGTTGACAATGAAAAAAATTGCCGATTTCCGAGAGAGAGCCCCCAATGCTATTCCGTCTGCGTCAACACGCCTTTCTTCCTCTTCTAATCCAACGAAAACTTCTCCCTCTTCCAAGTCTCGCGGTACACGGCAATGGTACTCGCGGCGTCTTTGCAGCGCTCTGGTGCACGGACGGGTAGGTCGACGACAGCGCGACGCAGGACGCCACGCGCAGGTACGCCGTAGAATTGGATGAACTTCTTGTGGTAGTCGCGGATCAGGCCGCTGAGAACGGCGAAGTGTCCAGGCCAGAGTTGCTCGGAGGGTGTGTTGCATATCGAAGAGATGGCACGCCAGTACTCTGACATGGCGATGGCAGGCGCCTTGGCGGCGAATGAGCGGAGGGACATGGAGGCGTAGCCAGCTCCGATACCGCGCATGCGCTGCGAGTATGTCTCTGGGGTTGAGTCCTCTTGCCAGCCTAGGCGCAACCGACCTTCCTTGGTGTTCATAGTACCGCGGATGCCAAACAGAGGGGGGCAGGCCTTGTGTAGCTTGGCCAGCGCAATGTCGATGAGAGGAAGGCCGTTCCACATGTACTTCTGGTCGCCGAATAAGCTGGCTGCTATCAAACCGATCTCCTGGATGATGCGTCCGTCGGTGTTGGCAGCCTCCTTCTCGAACTGCTTTACAAGGAACTTCTCGAAGCAGATCCAGACGTAGAGCAGGAACGCCGGGTATGCGGCTTCGTTCTCGTTGGCCAGCTGGGGAATTTGGTGGGAGACAATGTATTGTCGGATGTCGACCATGGGTCCGGGTGTTGTGAGGGCGATGTCGAAGCATTCGGTTCGGAGGCGCTTGATGGCGGCGACACTGTCCTTGCGCTCCACGGTGATCTGGCCAAGTCGAGTGCGAATGGCGCGTCGGGCATCACCAACGGGACCCTTGAGGGGAGAGGTTGGCTTCTTGTGTTCCTCCCAGAAAGCTTTGCGGAAGGCCTTCATGCGCTGGTGTAGTTCGAGGTATTTGGCGTGAATCTGATCGGCGCTGGTGCTAGTTCCCGGTGCGGCGGTGGATGGCTTTGGTGGTGCAGCTGCTTGTGTGGGAGCCGGCGCGGGGGTGGGCTGAGCGGTTGGCTGCTGTGGTGGTGCTTGCTGTCGAGCCTTCTCTGCAGCGGCCGCAGCCTCGGCAGCCTTCCGATCAGCTTCGTCCTTTTCCCTCTTCTGCTTCTCAGCGGCCGCCTGCTGCTCTTGCTGGGCTTTGATGCGGGCATCGGCCTGTTGAAGTTTGAGCTTGTGCTCTGCGGCTTGACGGGCGGCTTCTTCCTCGCGCTGTCTTGCTTCCAGAGCCCTTCGCTGAGCCTCGGCTTGCTCGCGGGCCTTCTCCTGCTTCAGGCGCTCAATCTCCTGCCGTTGAGCCTCTTCATGGCGAAGGCGCGCCTGCTCTTCTTCCAGGGCAATGCGTTCGATCTCAAGCTTCGCGCTCCTGAAGACGCGCTCGTGTTCCTCGGCAGCGTAGGCGAGTTGTTGAGCATGTTGTTTCGCGCGCTCGTTCGCAGCTTGGTCCAGCTTCTCGTTGAACTCGCGGTCGGATATGCTGAGGCGGAGGTTGAACTCGAGGGCTAATTGCTTGGCCGGGCTCTCATAGGGGTCGCGGATGAGGGATTCGCGCTTTTGGCGGTGACTGCTGCGGCGATTCGGCGATTGGCGTGTTGGCGAGGCGTCCATGAAGCTGGAGCTGAAGGAGGTGGCGGTATGCATGCTCGACGACGAGGTGCCCGATCTGGCGGGCATTCTGGCGCCGTGACGTTAGTTGGGGTCAGGGTACAGTTGTTGAAAAGGTGGTTGGTGAGAGCGCGACGGTCAAAGAAGTCTAGTCGGAAGCTAGCAGTGACCAGCTCCGACTCACGTGACATCGCTCATCCCTGCAGCAGCTTTCACCGCGCTACGCAGCTCCATTGTAGTGCTGGCTAGCGTACCTGGACATCAATTGATCAACGGGTCGCGCACTTTCGAAGTCGAAGCACTCGCTCGATGTCTGACGTAGCTTCATCCGCAGCTCCACCTGGGCCGTCAATTGATTAAGATGAGATGGAGTCAAGGACGCTGAGTCGCGCCTTGGGCAAACACGCCATGTTGCGCCTTTCATAAAGTTCACAGGATGCGTCTGTGCCCAAGCTGGTGGGACTGCACCCGCCAAGCTGCGACGCTGTGAGGGCACGCGCAGGCCCTGGAGAGGGCCGTTTCACTGACAGAATGTGACAAGCTGGGGAACGATGTGACTCCTGTCCTCGAGTTTCAGCGAGGCATGGCGCGCGAAGCCAGCATATCTGTCAGATTGTTGGACTATCGAATGCCGGACATGACAAGCTCGCAACCCCAGCGCAGTGGATCCATCAATATAACCTCGACCCTTGCGCCGCCCTCCCGCGACGCTGCAGCGGACTGTTGTTCGTGTCTAGAAACGCGCGCCGGCTAAGCCTGCCTTGAAACGTACAGACCCAAACGTGATGCTTCACCTGGGGCGCGCTGAGACGCATGCCGACTGCTGCTGGCGGTATATATACCAGCTCGCGGCCGGCAGCGCCTCAGCCCCCACGGCCCGGCGCTTGCTTGTATCTACGTTAATTTCGCACTCCTTCAGTTCGGCGCGGGAAGCTGCATATCTGGCTTCGCAAGTGACGTACGCCGCTTAGACCTCTCCCAGGCTCGCTCGTTTGCGGAAGAACAGGCGATCTTTGCCCAAACCGTGCTGCTGGCCAAGTCCCGCCATAGCCATCACCACCTCGAGCACGCTGACGGCCCTCTTGCCTGCCCTCTGCCCTCTCTTCCTGCATCCCTCCTGCCCGCCCGCCCCGATCGCTCCCTCCTTCGAAGCACTCTCTCCGCCCGCATTTTGGTTGTACTGCCACCAACAGCCCGTCCTAGGGAAACCGCGCTCTTTGATCTGGTCGACCCTCCTTATCAACCCTCCTAGACCAACGACACATTTGTCTGAACACGACACCACCCGCTTCTGACTTGCAGAGCACCACCCCGAGTAATCATCGTCTACGAGAGTATCCTCTTCGCCCCGAGCACCGCCCAACCAGCACGCTTACCCCAACGTGAGTTGTCCCCCGCTAGCTCGCTCGCTGAAGCATGCCGCTGCCGACCCTGCATCTGTCCCCCATCTGCCTCCTTGCACTCTCACCACCTGCATCCCTTCACTCGCTCGCTCACGGCAGCCCTCATCCAACCCACCATGCTGATTGCCCGCAGATAAATCCATCACACTTTTGACCAATTCGTGTCCGACCGTCTCTTCTCCAACAGCATACACTGCAAGCGGGCATTGAACCATCCACAATACATTATCCACTATGGATCAACAACAAGGCCAGCAGGGCCCCATGGGTCCCGCCGGTCGTCGTCTGCACATTGCGCATCGCCGCAGTCCGTCAGAGCTGACACCGCTGATGAGTACGTGAAGCTATCCGATAGCCACTTTGGGCCATTGCTGACAGCTGCACAGTGGAACAGCTCGCCATCGCACAGCAGATCGAGGTCCTCCAGCAACAGCAGCAGCAGATTGCCGCCACGCACCAGCAATATGTTAACATGGGCATGATCCAGCCGCAGCAGCAGCTCGGCAACTTCCAGATGCAGGGCCAGATGCCCAATGTCTCGCCCCAAGTCAACAACTACCAGTTCCCCCAGCAGATGCAGCAAATGCAGCAGCAGCAACACCTCGCTGTCCCCATGGGCGCACCAGCCCAGCCTGGCGCCCACCGCCGCAACCAGTCCGCCCTGCCCCAAGTCGGCATGGGCGGCCCACCCCCCGCTCCTTCCTCCGGTTCGTCTGGCTTCGGCGAATTCGGTGCACAACAGGGTGGCCAGGGTAGGGAAAACGTCAACCCTCGTGGCCGAGGCGGTGGCAGTGCTGGCGGCTCCGGACACACCCGCCGTCACTCGCTAGCTCTCGCCGACGCGAAGAAGGCTGCCGAACAGGCCGAATCGAAGAGAAAGACTTCGGGCTTCCAGTTCCCCATCCCCGGCTCGACCGAGGGCAGCTCTAACCGTGATGCCAGCCCCAGTGGAAACAGCGCTTCCAACGACACTTCTTCCGCCCGTGGTGGACGAGGTGCCCACGGCCGCAGCCAGAGCATGGCTGTCGGACGCGGTGGTGGAAGTGCTGGCCGTGGCGGTCCTTCCTTCTCCTTCCCAGCTACCAGCGAGAACCCTACCAACCAGAACAACGGACAGCAGTCTGACTTCCAGCGCCGTGGCAGCCAAGGCCATGGCAGGAGCCAGTCTCGCAACTTTGAGGGCAACTGGAGACAGCCCCAGAACAACACCCAGCAACAGCCTACGCAAGACAACCAGTCCCAGAACATGGGCAACTTCAACATGAACCAGACCGCCAATGCCGCTCCTTTCCAGCCTGGCCACCGCACTCGTGGATCGGTCAACCAGTCCGTTGGCTCTCTTGGCAACTTCCAGTACGGCGGCCAGCCTCAGATGCAAATGGGCAACCAGGCCCAGCTTCTCCTGCAACAGCAGATGTTCGGCCAGCCGCTAAACCCCATGCAGATCGCTCATTTACA